AGATTGCATTCTGTGATAATCTTCAAGTTGTGCCAATCAGCTAGCCTAATCACATTGAGGGTTTAATGAAAGTGGAAGACCACAGGCAGAAAAGGGAAAAAAAGTTGAACTAAGGCTGATAAGGAACTCTAGTGGTCTGTAATTGCACCTCATTGATCTGCAGAGTTTATAGATCCTTATCATCTTGCATTATGTAAATTATTCCCTACCCACAATAGCATTAGGAGACACCCTTACTTTTGACCTCACACGACTGTTAAACGTTCTGCATACAAGCAGCAACCATCAATGACTGTTTACCTTTATGGGAGGAAATTAAATTYCATTCTGCTTCCTCTTTTCTTCATAGGCATAATTCTGTAAAATGTGCTTTCATTCTTGAAATTTGTGTTGAGCATCCAGAACTAAACCAGTGAATCCCTTCCTATCCATGTTCCACCCATGTGAGCTTATGTCTACGGAGACCCCATGGGCAGTGGACAGATGGCAGGGCTCTGCCATTCACAGATGCCCACCTCTTATCTCTCTGATCTCTGCCAAGACAAAACACATGAACCAAGAATCTTATCAGGCGAGTTAGGAGGGCAAAATCAGGGGGAGAAAACGCGTCGGTTGGGGAAAGTATCTCGGAAAAAGAGAGTGCATCGAATCAGAAAAAAATCCACTTCTTGTGGGATTTGTTGTCTGGCAGAAGAAGACAAGCATGTTTCTTTGTGTTGGAATGTGATGCCCAATTTGCAATCATTAACCATTTACAGCRACAAATCTCACTATTTAGTATTGTTAAACATTTGAAATATTATGTAAAAGAGCTTTCAGCATTTGGATTTTTAATATGCTAAGAAATACATTGTCAATTAACACATATTTGCTCAAGAGAGAACACATTAAAAACCTATATTCTGAATGTACTGTAGCAATATGAGTTATTCATAATATGTTTAATGATACTATCTTTATTATACCTTTGACCTTGCCAGTTTAAGTCCTAAGTTGTCAATCAATTTATAGCAATAACTTCTTGGTAGCATTTGAAATAATGAAGATGCATGTTACATTTGACTCTCAAACAGATTGCTTTTAATAAATCCACCTATTTATTGCAGCCTCCAAATAATAAAATTAATTTTCTGCCCTCTTAGCTGAGAGCTCTGACTTTCCTTTTTCATCTKATCAAAACTCTCCCTAATCTATTACTCATTATTTTATTAATTATTCATTAAACCAGTCATTCATATTTGATGAAGTCATTCACAGAAGAAATTTGCTGCAGAAACAACAGCAAAAAGAAATATCTGAGTTTTTTCCTGCAACCCTGTTGTCATTTACCATTTGTTGTTTTTATTATTTTGCAGAGGCAAAAATAAAGGCAAATCTAGCTGTAATGCTTTGTACCTTAAAAAACACAATTCTTCTGATATTGTCATGTTTTTTTTACACTGAAACCGTTACACAAGCTGTAAAAAATAGTGTGCAAAATAATTTTAAATGTCTAAAACAGAGTGGCATGGCAGAATGRTTGGAACAGTGAGGTGTGTGGGATGTGTAGGTCAAAACATGCAAAACAAATCACAAAACAACAACACAGGATCAGAATTTGGGCTACATCCTGTGCAGCYACATCAAAAAGCAGCCTCTTATCATGTTGTTTACCATGCTTTATGCCCTTATTATGTCTGGCGCTGTGTGTATATCCGTGACCAGACATCTCTGCTCCAACCTGAGCTCCAGTGTTTGAATCATCACACTCCAGATTGGAAACCAGCTTGGGGTAAAGGTTAATGGAAGCGAACTGCAAAACAGAAATTTACAACTACCACAGATGCTATGGAAACTGCAGCATAATTACAATATTTATTTATAATTCAATGATTTTTATGCCCCCCTCAAATGCTCAATACTCACTTCTGTAAGCTGTCCCTGAATATTTGTTGGATCACTCACATCCTTGGGTGAACGCTGGAAACTCAGGCTGAAAAATTGCCTTGAGGCAGGTTAAGATCAGAGGGAATTGAAAAAGAAAGAAAAAAATGCTGGAATGAACAAGTCCTAATGTGAACACAGGGAAGACAGAACAGAACTCTCTCTCACCCTGGAGAMAGCCTGAAAATAACTTCTGGTGTCAGAATCTCTTAAATGGAGCAAATGCTCTTGTAAAGTCTGCATAACGGATACAGGGAAACGTTTGATCCTGTTATCAATATTTCATATCGTGGCTCCTGTTCCTGTTTTTAAATACCAATAATATTATGTTTTTTAACGTTATAAACAATATGTTTAGTTGGCTATTATTGCAGGATTTTTCCTCATACTGAATGTGAGCAAGCCATATTTTATGCACACAAATAAATGTTTRCATAAGGTTTTATTTGAATTGTTTTTTTTTTTCTCTCTCTCTCTTCTTGGGGGGTGTAATTGCTCATGATGCATTTCTCAAAAAGCAAAGCCTCTAGTTTCTTTGTATGTGCATAATGCCATTTTCATTTTGCTTTAAATATCAGACTATGACAAGTCTGAATTAGAAGTGGTGCTGAAATCACACAAGGCCTCAACAGTTGCAGCCTGAAAAAAAAAAGTTCAATTTATACTGTGAACGTTGCTGGGAAACAAGCACATTTCCAGACAAGGAAGAGTATTTTTGTTAAAAATACAATTTTTCAAGCTAAATTGTGCTTATGATTACATAACACACCATTTGCACTTGACTGCTTATCGACCAAACTATATATATTTTTTATATCAGTAGATGCTTTAAAATGTTTCCAACCAAGAATTCATCCATTGACTGGGTAAAAAGGTCAAGTAATCACCATTTCTTTAAGGGAAGAATAACCTCTGGTTCCTGCAGGCTGACATTGTGTGCATCTCCATAACTTCACAGGGTATTAATTGTTTCACCTCCGTCAGCAGAATGGCCTCGGCTTGTTGAACTGAATCCAAAAGAAAAGTCATCAGACAAATTGCATGGAAGCAGATCCAGAGGCGGAGGCRCAGTGCAACAAGCTGAATCTTAAGATGGTGTTGGAGGACATTTGGCTCCTTTCAGATGTGCTCTGTAAACTGGTGACCATTTGAGAGGATGATCAATACTCCGTGGGCAGGTGTGCCACCTCTAATTGCTAATTATCAAGAAACGCTCACTGTAAGAAAATATGAACCCAGCTGACATGGGAGCAGCCCTCCCTGACTGTTATTAGTCACTCTTGTCTTAACAATGATCTATGCCATTGCTGAGTGAATGCAATTTGCAAAACAGTTGGACCAAATTAACACCAATGCCAGTGCATGCTCTTTTTTGACAGATGTTGGCACTGAAATGTTCTCTTGAATGTGTAAACTCCAGGTTTGTATTTCGCATTATGAAGGTTGGCTTCACTGACTTGTTTGAGTATTAAAACAGGGAACTTGCAAAACAGCAAATAGACCTTATTTTGTAAAACTAGCTCGCTTTTGCAGGGTTTCCGTGGATTCTTAAAAAAAAAGGTTTTAAATGACGTTTGAATTCATCAATCCAAAAATAAGGCCTTAATGAGCCTTAAAATGTCTTAAATCAATATTTCAGAGGTCTTAAAATATTAACACATTGTAATTGGGATGATAATTTTAATGTTTCTCACATACTAAAATAATTGGTTTCATTTTGGTATTTTTAAAAAAACAATTTACCAAATACTTCTCATAGCTAGTTGTTTTGTGTTAAAATAAACATTTGTAAAATTGCTGCTACCTGCATTTTTTTATTTTACATTTGTGTTCATTGTGAAGTGGGTCTTAAATTTCATTTCGAGTGGCATTAACCCTTTGATGCACAACATACACACACCCCTTCTGATGCGCAACATGGGTCACAAATGGCCCGCATTCATTTTTCAGGTTATTTCAGTTTATATATATGTGTGTGTGTGTGTGTGTGTGTGTTTAAGCATGTATGTATAGAGTGCAAGTAAATCAATTTTATGAAGATTTTTCCCTATGGGATACATTGTTCTCTGTAAATGCCACACGTGAATAATTGGAATCTAAATGAGTGATGATTAATTACCTAACTTTATTAAAACTGGTGCATTTTTTTTACGTGACAACTCCTCACCTGTATCAAAACAAATGAACATTTGAAGTGAGATTTTTATCTTTCTAACATTCCAGAAAAATAATAATATAAAGTTGGCTTTGCTCAGCATTTCTGTACACGCCACAGAGCATAATTGGACCATGAAATGCACCTGTGTGGAACCATCTGCATTCACTGTGACTCTCCACTCACTTAGCCTTTTTTATATTATCATTATCCTTCTTCAATTTGTCACCCATCTGTAGATCTAGCTGAAGAAAGGGCCAACTTGGATTAGTAAGCCAGAGCAGATGCAATGCACATTAAATATTCAGCTGCCTATTTCATCCTTAAATACACCAAAGCTTTGAAAAAAAGGCAGCTGACACGGACGGAGGCATTGTATTTCCAATACAAAATAGAGCAAAATGTTAAGTAATACAGAAAATTGAATATTTTGCTATTATTATGATTATTACTACATTTTTTTGTTTGGTTTTTCCACAGGGAAAAGAATAAAGACATTTACCATTTCCAGAAAGTCTCTTTTTAATGGCAGTACTCACTTCAGCACCATGGACAGCACCAAACTCAAACCACATCTAATTTACATCAAACTTTGACTGTAGCCTAAAATATTTAAGCTGGAGGACAGCATAGATCTTCATATGATTTTTAAAATTCAAGAAAAATAAAATAAAATAAAAAAAATCCAAAAAGCCATCCAAACACAAGTCACAYAATGCTTGCATTTGTTTCCCCTCCCCATTTAAATTAGTTTATTTTTTTCAGAATGAGGTTATCTCCCATTGCTGTGAGATCTAACCCTGGTGATTACCCATTTTGTCTGAGGAGACGTTGCTTCTAAACACAACGTGCACCCCCACACACACGTGCGCGCGCAAATCGTGATGCAGCCCTTTTTGGACGAGCTCCTGGATCGTATAGTCTCACCAGAAGAGGGCATTCCAATTCTGCCTGACAAAGTTGCTGTGACATGCAGGCGTGATTAACAACAGCGTCATGTTGCATTTCAAACCGAGCAACAGCGAGGACGAAACGAACATTGGGGTATAGGAAAAAAAAAAAAGAAAAGGAAAAGGGGGGAAACAGGTGAATGTTTGGATCTCCATCCGACAGTCAGCGTTTCACATTGACTTGGGAATAACCTGCCACTTCTGTGCGTCACGCGCGGACCGAGGATCTTCTAGAACAGAGACGAACAGGAATTTGTTTGTGGAGGAGGGAAAAACAACAACATTTTTTTTCGCATCATGCCGAGCTTTTGTGAAGTTTTGCGTTCACGGAATTCCTATGTGAGACTGACATGACTTACTTGGATGTGGCATCGGTATTGTCTGCGCCTGCTGCAGTGCTGTTTCTGTCAGTCTACTTGAGAAAATAAATAAATAAATAACACGGAGGGACCGATTGTGCTGCGAAAGGAAAAGGCATGGGAAGGGAGTTCTGAAGCCGATTTCATTTTTTTTTCAACCTGGAGTTGGGAGTAAATGATATTTGCTCCGGTTCACTTRCACGGTTCTAGATGCAGAGCTCAAGCGGATAAAGCGTCCAGGTCCGGGAGAGGAGAGAGCAGGTGCGCTTTGGAGTCGGCAGCTGCGCGGAGAAACCGGACCAGAGGATTAGGACGATACCTGTCTGTGGAGAGCGCATCATGCCGACTCGGATCTCGCGCACTGGAAGCCATTAAAACCTGTAGGCTGGAGCTAACAGATAAGCGGATATGGGTAAGTTTGTATTTCAGTGTCTCTTTTTTTTTCTTGGTAGCGTGGGTTGCGAAAAATCCACCACTTCTCCCCCCACCCCCATTTTTCTCTCATAACGCAGCACTGAACGTTTTATTTCTAATGCTGAGAATCAGGTTGGGTCGTTTTCTTCRCACTGTTTTCCTCCTGGTGGCTTTTATTGAACTGGAAAGCTTGTGGAATGTGGCTGAAATCTGCACTAATTAGTCGCAGAGCTGCAATGTATCTTTTTTTCCCCTCACTCCTTTTTGTAGCAATGAAACCCTTTTTTTCAAGACTGCAATTAACGGTCAGATATCATAAACCAATGAAACGAGGCTGTGTGAGGACTATCAGTTGGTCTCCTGAACAGTTAAAGATGGACTGATGCAGATCGGGATGCAAATCACGTTATGTTGAAAAGCAGTCAACTTTATACAGCGTGGCTCCGCAGAATCATTAATTGTCCTATTTAGACGCATGCCCAGTGCTAATGACGCCCAAACTCTRGAGCTGACTTCTCTCAAAGRCTGGTTTGTCTTAAAAATCGTATTTTGCACATGTCCTGTGAAAGATAGACTTAAGTTWGAGGCTAAAACTGACCTGTGAGAGTGATTCTGCTTATATCTAGTCACAAAACCCACTCTTAGGTATCTATCTCTGCGTGTGCACTTTYTCCAATCATCTTCTCACTCCTACTTACCATTTGTCCCCTCTGTTAACCCCTTTTTTACGCGTGCGCAAAGTCACTCACCCAGAAGCCACCCCCTCGACACGCTTCCGTCCCCATCTTCTCACTTAAGCAGCGCCTTGTGCTCAAAATTTCAGATTCCTCTCCTCTAATCATCCCTCCACCCCACACTTTTTTTTCTTTTTCTTTCCTTCATTCCCTTTGTCTGATTTTGCCATATCTTCTTCGCCATTCTTAAGCACAACATGGATGACCAGGTTCAGTGGTGGTGCTGTGCCATTAATTGTGAAACCGCGTGATATATCGACCCACAGTAGGTTACTGCACAACATCAATATGAGTGATAACAACACACAACTGCTCCAGGCTGCAGGAGTCCAAATTCACTTTGTGGATTGCACAAGACACTTGTGTGATTCTTAAATGAACAGAACGTGTTGGAAACGTTCCTCTTTGAGGTGCGTTGACTTTGAGAGTCGGCATGAAGGGATGTCTTCCTGGTGGTGCCAGGTGCACAGCTCCCAACTTTTGGCAACACACCGTCACATATTTTCCTCAAATTAATTGATGATTACATGGAGTTCTAGTGTCTGTTTTCGTCACCAGAGAAGCTTATTGTGAGCCTCTTCATTAGCAGCATGCAATGCACTTATGTTTCATGGACCATATCATTAGAGACGAGCCTCTTAAAAAGAGAACAACGAACTGGAGAGAGCAGAATTGGGAGATGAATTCAGAGATCTACGTGACATTTTACACAGCCTCTCTGCATTTAAATGCAGAAAAGCTTTGAAGTGTCACTGTTGYAGAAAATATATCTGTATATACAAAATATAAGCTTTTTCTGTTATGTTTAAATTATGGTTCACAGCAGCTCAACAGTAGCAACAGATCACTTTCTGCTGACTTCATGGCATCCAACAGTAGAACTGATTACATTTTGGGTGAAATGTGTGCAAACAGGATATCAACAGGCTCTTTGAGAGCCATATAAATCTGTTTTATATTTACATTTATCATTTAGAAGAAAGAAAAGAAAATCAATAGTCTGTGTGACTTCAGACAAGGCATCCATTGTCTGCTTTTTTATTTTAGGTCCGTGGTTGAGACCTACTTTCTTCCCAGTTTTTGCCATAAACACTGCACTTTTTCTTAAAACGAAATTGTTTCTTAACAAATGCTACATCATCCCATTTATTCTGTCTCAACCTAAAGAACCACAAACTCTGTGAAACATTCAAACCATTCATGAGTCAAAAGTGAGATTCACAATGTTTCTAATTCTCTAAAATCTGTATGCATCAGTTAAAGTTGTAGGCGTCAAACTGTTTATTCAGGGGGGCAGGAATGCTCTGAGCAAAACTCTAGATATGTATTAAAATGCATCATGTTATAAAATATTGTTTTTGGTTTTGTTTTGATGTTTTCCCAGTTAATTTTATTGGATTAGATTAGCTTTCCCATCATGTTGGAGGAATTTGAGTGTATTATCTTTTTGGTGGGGCCTTTTATGTTTTATCCAAAAACTTAAAGTTATTTTTAAGGCTACAATTCAGAACACAATGGAAAAAAACAAAACAAACAAAACAAAACAAAAAAAATGAATAAAAATAATTTTGTGATGTTGACATAATAAAATATATTCTACTTATACAGTATCTGTAACCAGGTGATTTATCAATATAAAACTTTAAAATAAAGTAATCACAATCAAAGTTTTTAGGGGTGCATCCATTGCAGTTTTCTGTTTGACCACCAATCTTTAAAAAGCCTGATTTGCCCATTCTGATTTTGGCCAATAGAGATTTTTTTTTATAACTGACACTTTCAGGTGTTCAATACAACTTCAATGTTCAAGTCTTATTTTATTGAAAAACACTGAACAATACTCTTGAAACAATACAAACTTGTTTTTAACTAAACAAATGGGACAGTGGCTGATTTTCTGATCTTTGTGGACATAGATAATATTTTTTTTTATCTGGATAAGATTGACTTAGCATCTAAGTATCTGCCCATTACAGATCTCCTAAAATCAAGAAAATCTGGGCCAATAAATTGTCTGACCGATTTATCAGTGCACCTCAAAAATGTTTTATAGTTTCCAGCACCATTCTTAAGAATCTGTATGGTTTATTTAAAATGAATTTGTTCTTTGTCAAAGTGGAAATTAAGTTCTCACTGATGCATCACTGCAGAACTGAACAGAACTGTAAAATACCAGGCCAGGCATGAAGACTGCAGATACACCATTGTATTGTGAACTTTGACATCAATAAGAAACAATATTTATGATTATCACTGCAGAGTTCTACCTAACGACCCTGAGGAAGACAAGAAAAAGCAATAAAAGCACAAAAATTGTCCTAACATGAATGAAATATTTCTCACCTGGCAGTCTTTGCTTTTATCATATTTATAATTGGAGACTAATGAGTTGGCTTGGAATGATTTGGAGGACATCCTTCCTTATGTGTTAGGCTGCTGTCCAGCCTCTGTAGAGTCATGGCTGAAGCTGGTAGCAGTTTTGTCAATGACAGGCAGCAAATAGAAATGAGCCACTCGTGTGCGCTCAAAGTGCACCAGTTAGTGAGTCCATTTGCCAAGTTATTAAGCTGCATTTGGTTTTATTTTAGCTCAGCAGTAAAGTGCACTTACTCTTTCTCTATTAGGGTTCAGAGGTAGAAATAGCCATCTTCCTTTGCTGAGGACAGCAGGGCCRTCTGCTGCATAACAAAGCCTGGCTCACATGCCTTCAGACAAACTTAGTTTTCATTGTCCATCTTGACTGTGAGGAATAAATGCAAAAAGAAACAGCAGAAAACAAGAAACACAGATCAATACAATTTTAGATAAAAGCCTAAAAAAGCAAGAAAAGTGTTTTGAATAAAACATTTTTATTCGGGTTTTAAAAGTGAGGAGGAAAGGAAGGAAGGCAGATGGAGAGTTCAAATGGAAAGGGATTCAAAAGAATAATAATAAWAAAAATGTTTTGACCACACAAAAACAGACCACATTGAGACAACATCCTGATGGCTTCAGGGTTCAAGGGCATGCAGAATTTACTATGACGAAAGAAAAGAAGAAAAAATATCCTTGCAGTAGCATCAAATGAAGCTGGAGTAAAGGAACAGTAATGATGAAAAGTGTCTCTGGTAAGAGGTAATAGAGACAGAAACCCCTTGAGTGACACCTGGGAGGGTGACTTGTGCTGCTTTGTGAATAAGATTAGACGAGGAGTGGGGAAGGTGATGGCTTAGAGAGGCATTAGCTCTTAGATGTCTCATTAAACCATGTACGGTGTCAGTAAAGGGAGAGTGGAATCTTATGAAGCAGCCTCTTTCTGTTAGGGACGTTTCAGTCACTTCTAATAATGCAGGGATAGTTTACATATGGGGGAAAACAGCAGTGTTGTTTCCACATCCTCCTGAGATACAAGCCAGAAATAAAAATTGTTGTCATGCTTAACAGCCCACACATTTTATTCTATCATCAAAAAGTGTTTTTCAATTATGATAGTTTTGAGTGAACATGGAACATTACTCTTGGCCATTCTTCTGCAATGCAATGTTTTTGCTTTTCTCTACCTAAGTTTTGTTTCTCTCTCTGTTTCCTGTTAGCTTTTGATGAAACAAATTGCTTGCATTCAGAATTGCTACATCTCGTAATCCCCGTCTTTTGTGTACGTTAAAGTATCACAGTTCTCGGATCTAGAAGGAGGAAACATGATTGATGTAGCTGCTGGTATAATCAATATCCAGCACAAATTATCTGCATAGTTCCTTGGTTCGCTCCATCTGTAAGGAATGATGAAAGAATCGTCTGAAAACAAACAGTAAGTGTTTTCTCTTTCCGTTACACTGTTAGACACCAACAAATACACATGCAAAACCCATATGGGATCAGCAGATGCTTGGCAGTGAGTGAAATGGCTATGTTAGAAACCATATGCTGTATGATGCCTCTCAGCGACTCTGTGTCAGGCACTTATTTCTGACAAATCCAGAAAAGATTATTGAGATTCCACAAAACTCCAGTTATGCTTAAATGTCTTAACTGCAATACAAGTATCCAAATTTTTTCAAGTTCGACTTGTCGTCACTGCAGCACACAAGATAGCATGCTCTTTTTAACATAGAGGTAGAGTCACTGTGTCACTAGAGAGTTCAATCTAAGCTGCACCCACTGGACTACTTCTATCGAGAAATATTAATCGTATCTCAGTCTGATTGTGGYAATAAATCCCATATTTTATAATATAACTTTCAGAAACACACATCAGCAGTGCATTCCTTTACACTATCCCCTCTAGGGGAAATCAATGTGTCTTAATGACAGATCATTAGTTGCTCGGTAAAGGGGAACAGTTTTAATGGAAACAACTCAGTCCCACCAAAGAACGGAGCAATACAAAAAAAAAAAAAAATAGTTACAGACCTCTTTGCCTCACCATTTGCCCAGGTATTTTTGTTCTGTTCTACTTTTTGGGTTTTGCCTTTGACATGCAGCACCCACACTCATCTGTTGGATTTGCCTTTCAAGTGTTAAATATGTAATTATTTAAAATCTAAATTTACAACCTAACCTATATCCATGTACTTTATTTCCCCCCTACTCCCAGCATTTTTCCAGATTTCATGGTCTTTTCCTCTGTTTCACTCACCCAGCAATGATGTAATACAAGTTACGCATATTCTAGACTTCCAGGATTTAAAGTAACCACTGGTCAGTGTTGCACACTATTTCCTCACAAGCTGTGCATGATTATTTTAGATATGGTTTTGTTATTTATTTATTTATTTATTTATTTTTAGAATAGTGCATTTAATCATACTCGGTATCTTCCAGTCCCAATATGTGCAGGTGCAACAACCAGAGTACATTGGTGCTGCTTATAAGGAACACCTGTACAGCAATTTGTTCACCCAGTCATTCAATTAAGCATTCAGATGGTAGCAGTGTGCAGAAATAAATCATGAAAATCGGGGCAAGATCATCATACCAAATATAGGAATTTCACAATGACATACTTTTTTTGGTATAATTTGTGTGTAAACTTCTATTTATGAAATGCAGCGACAGAAAATGATTCAGGAAGGTAATCAGGAAGGTTGTATGATTCTAAAAAATACATGGTTAATTATTCTGGTGGTCAGAAAACAATTTTTTTTAATTAATAGCCCGATGATTTTGATGCATGGATCATGTCATATTGAATTCCACTACATTTAACCAAGAACAAAAATCTAGAGGTACATTGGGTTGTGTTTTAGTGGCAGAGCTGCTTTATACTAACTATGCCAGCAAGACTCTCTCTCACACACTCTCTTCTTGAAACAACTAAAATGCATTCATTTTCATGGCCAGTTYATGGCAAAACTATGGTCATCTTTAAACGATTAAATTTCCATTGTATGTTTAKTATGTTTACAACACACACAATTACTAAGACTCACAGTCACTGACAAACGTTTGACTCTAGTGCTACATGCACTTTGATTTATACTTCAGCCATTCCATGGTTACCCAAAGCAAGCATAACAAATTCAGTCTGCATCATAATTTCTGTTTTACGATATATATATATATA